TATATATATATATATATATAATTTTTTTAACCAGTGTCATTAAAATATTAGTTATAAAATTAGTAGGTAAAAAGTATAACGTGTCCAGATACATTTTTTTAATAAAAAATTACTTTTATTCCTTAATTAGTGTTATAGTTAACATTTTACATACAAAAGTATATCACTTTAGTACTAATTATAAGCAATAAATTAGATTTTTTTATTAATCCTAATTATGAATAATAATTATTAATTTTTGAAATAATTTATGGGTAAATTTCTTTTATAATTTTAATTTATTGTTAATTTTATTTCTTATACATTCACTTATAACTAACATTAAATGTAGCAACCACTTAAATTAATGGGTATCCTTAGAATAAAATTCGAATTTATGTTATAATTACTACCTACATTCCTATATATTTTTAAGAAAGTCAATAAAAACATAATTCAATCATATAAAATCAATTTTATAAGGTAAGGATTATCCTCAACTTATGTATACTTTGTTGATTAGTCAATGTAGGATCTCCAATACATCTCCTCTGATGCTATCTTAAAAAAGTGAATTGAAGTTTAATTCAACCCTACAAAATTAACTTTGTAAGATGAGGATTATCCCCACTTATATATACTTTTTTGGCTTTATCACTAATAGATGTGGGATTTTCAATATATATAAGACTCAGTTATCTAATTCATCAAGATTAGAAAAAAGAGTTAATTTAATTGATAACAATAAATTTATTCTATTATTTTTTTTTCTAAAATTACCTTTATGCTACTTTTATTTCCTAATTAATACTTATATATCATATAACCAATGAAAATACATGTCTTAATTAATACTCATTTTTTTTATAATCAATTAGAGTACTGTACGTGTTCTTTAAAGAGTTTATAATTAATATATTTTACCAAATTAAGATAACATACTTTAATTAGAGATATTTTAGTCTAAAAATAAATAACATATGAAACAATATGAATTAGGTCTTATATAAAAAATAATAATTAATTATTTTAAGTTGAGTTTTATGAATAGGAACATAAGTGATAATTAAAAGTAACCAACTTAATCATTTTTCTTGCTCTTAATGATTGTCTTATATTTCTTATAATTAGAACTAGATGTAGTATTTTACAAGTGTTGTATGTTTGACATTACTAAAAAATTTGTGTATATTATGATACTCTTTAATACTCATTTATTAATGCTTTCTATTATTGGTTAAAATTTATAAAATTTAGTAGATCCTCTTGCTAGATGAGATGCTTGAGTCACATTTATGACTTTTAATAAAATTCAACCAATAATACAATAAGGAGAAGGTTAGTATGAGAGTATTAGAAAAAAGATGAGAGTTATAATAACACCGATGTAACTTTTATTAAGTATTACACTGTTCAATAACTTTATATTAAATATGAATTTTGTAAATCCAACCGTTATATTGAAAGTTTTTTACTCTTAGATCATATATACAAAATTTTATATTAATTCAAGATAATTTAATACTTCATTTTTATAAAACAAAATTGACGTAATATACTCATTTCAAATATACTAAAATATGAATACTTTCATTACCTTCAAGTTATTTTTCAATTTCAACAAAATTTGATATACACATATAAAGTGATATGAACTTTCAATCTAACAGTTGAATTTATAAAATTCACAATTAATATAAAATTTTTGAGTGGTGTAATACTTAATAAAAATTACACAGGTGTTATTATAACCCTCCTCTAGAAAAAAAGTTAAAATATGTTTATAGTTCCTATGATTTTATTTATTTTATCTTTTATTTCTTTAATTTATAATAGATATTTTTAGTTTCTATACTTATCTTTTTCAATTCTTTTTAGATCATATAGATTAAAATAGATCTTTTTAGCTTTTATACTTCCTTTTTTTTTTATCTTTTTAGTCTTTGCTATTATTTTTTTATAACGTTGTCTATTTTATGTTGATGCGACATAGGTATTAATTTTGTTTTGTGTGTCTGATGTCAAATTTATTTTGTTAGTCTTAACCTAAATTAGGTCCTTCATACCTCTTTTTTATCTTCACCTGCAACTCTCGTTGTTGAAATACCTTTATTTTATTCTTACAAAAATGAAAATATCTATCACATCAACACAAATGTGATAATATTACAAAAGAAATTAATGATAAAGACTAAAAGATTAAAAAATTGTAAATATAAAAAATAAAAATGTATATCTTAAATTATAGGAACTAAATAATTAATAAAAATATATATAATAACTAAAAGTATCTATTTTAAATTGTAAAGCAAGTGAAATTATAAGGATTAAAAAATTATTTTAATAAAAAAAATATTAAAATTACACTATAAAATGTGTGATCGCACTTTAAAAAAAATGTTTTTAATTTTTTAACCAAACATGTTTCTTTAATTATTAACACGATAGCACATATTCAAACCTCGAAGAATAATAAAATTTACAATGGAGTTCAATCTAATGAAAAAAGTTAGCATCTATAATCATGAAGAAAAAAAAAAAGTTCTGTACATTCAATATCCGACTATATATAACTCAAATAGGATTGTTTATAAAAGAACATAATGTCGAGAAAAAAATAGAGAAATTCTTGGCGAGATGATTTCTACCAAATAACAATCTGATATTGTTACCAAGTAAAAATCTGCTATTGAAATTAATTTGAAGACACATTTCAATCATATTTAATGGTTTGAAATTAATTTTATCAGATTTTAAATTAAAGAGATATTTAACGAAATAATTTTAATTTAAATATATTGCAATATAAAAATATTTTATATTGACACTTAATTACAAATTATTATATATGATATTTTTAATTTTTCATAATTATTTTGAAAAGCTTACTTCTGATTACAATATATAAAATACTAAAAATATGATAATTAAATAAAAAAATATATAGTTTGTGTAACAATCCATTAGGCCATTACACTTAACAAAATTAAGTTATCTAGGACTCACATAATTACATAACATGAATATTCATGTCATAATATATACATAATAAAAGTTTATCAAACACTAAATCACATAACAAGTGTGTGTCTATATATATATATATATATTCT